ATCGTACTCCAAGCCAAAACAAGGAACTTGTTAGCAATCAAATGTATGATCCAAGTCCATGTTAAATGACTAATGTATCGCATACAAAATGCAACTAGAATAGGCTCGGCTAATCTAGGGATGGCATGTGAAATGCAACTAATAGCATGTATTCAAGTTTGGGTTTGAAATACTTATATAGTTAGTATGATGCGCCAAGCCCGGTGCATGCAATTCAAATGAATGATGCACACATGCATAGCATAAGGTATGCTAAATGAAACGTGCTCTAGTACTGACCATCAAAAGCAGGTAAGTAAAAGGGAGAAAGAAGTGGGGGTTGGAAAACATGCATACACGCACCCACACTTATTACACAATTATGCTCTCTCTTGGAGAGACCGAATAAATAATACAAACTTGAATAAATAATCAACTATTCTAACTAATTAAATATTACAGACCACTTAACTAGTTAAGCAAATTAACTAAGCTAAGAAAGCAATAAAACAGCCTCAGGAAGAGGGTCCAATGCATGCGTGCTCGGGTTCGTTCGGAAATCCGTTGCCATGCACAAGCTGCCTCTGTTTACACTGCTCTGCATCTCTGAGACCTGCACAAATCCCATGGATGCTTTAGCATCACTCCCTGAAGGTTGTGGGATGTCACCGGCCAAGGAGGAACACCACCGGCTATAGGGAATTGGTCATCGACCATTGATATGGCTCTCGGCCTCAAATGTTTGGTCGGTCGGCAATAGAGATGGTCGGCCAACCATGTATGCCTGCAGAATCCTGTTTTGACAGCAGCAGAGGACAAACATGGCATGGCAATACATTTCAAGCAAATGTGTGCACCAACACCCTCCTTATCATTTTCATGACTCAACGGAGGATGGTCCTCGACCCTCGGACCATAAATCGCGCATTTCAATGCGTGATGGTCCAAGAAGCCAAGTATGCATTTTGATGTCAAAAGTAATGCAAACCAAACAAACAAATGGACCCAACCTCTATCATAATCGATTCAAGAGGCAAGGCATGCATGCCAAATGCAACCTAAGCATATAGGCTAGTATGCAACATGAACATGGAGGCAAGTATGCAAACATGTAACAAGTATGCAAGCTAACAAGCATGCAAAATGTAATGCCAACAAACAAACATGCAAGACATGTGACATGTTAAGCAACCAAAGCAAAAGAAATATATGCCAAATACACTACCACCTAAGCATGCAACAACATACAAAGGGGTCAAGTGTGTGACAACATGCAAGGCGAATGTACACACAAACATTCATGCATGCAAGGTCCAACACTTATGCATCAAAGAACAACTTTTAAGCACACTTAAAAAGAAGATGAAAAGCATGCAAATGTGACAATGTTGCAAGCTCTGAAATGGTGCTAAGAGTGATGCCAAATCACATAAACAAACCAAGCATGGCATGCAATAGAGCTTAAAGCCCAAAAATAGCAAAAGGGCTTGAAACAAAACCATGCGAAACAGAGGGCATATGGAAAATGTGACCTAAGACAGTCCTAAAGCATGGCAAAGTAAGCTTAACACATGCGATGACCAAAGCCAACAAGCTAAAAACAAAAGGGGCAAATGCATAAGGCATGCAAGGCCACTAGAGAGGCATTACACCACACTTAATGCAACCAAACATGGCATGAATTAAGCGACCAAAACAGAGATATGACATGCTAAAATGAGCCCCAAAACCCACCTAGATGGCATCTAAATGGCCTAGACCTAAAGACATGCAAAATGACCCAAGCATGAGGCATAAGGCATCAACCTTTTAAAGTATTAAAGGAGCATCAAATGCAAAGATACAAGCATGCCACAAGGACTGAAATGACATGATAAGTGGTTCCAAACCACTGAAACAAAGCAAGTAAAGCATGCTAAAGGGGTCAACACTCAAGGCCTACAAAGGAGATTGTATGGTAGCTATACAAAGCAAAGCATGGATGAACCGAGCAACCAAAAATAGACCTCAAGCACACCAAAACATGCATAAAAGCTTCACAAAGCTAGGCTAAAATCATGCTAGAAACAAGGCTCAAAGCACAAAGCATATTAAGGCAATTTCATGACATTACAAGACAAGTATGCTAAGCATGCATGGTATGTCTAAACCAATTAAAAATAGTGCTATATCATGACAAAATAAGCACAAATACTACTTAGACATGGCCAACATGAACTTAAACAAGATGCTCACACATGAGGCTAAAATGGCCAATATTGAAGGCAACAAGGAGAGGGGATGGCCCTCTCCTTCTTAGGACCTTAAAGCACCATTCCCATCACTGAAATCCCTCTGGATTTTAGTGGTGAGAAGGCCAAGACAAGGTGGTCCCGAAGCTCACCAAACATGCACAAAAATGAGGCCTAAGAGGGGTCAAACAACCCCAAACACCAAAACCACCTTAAACAACTATTTTAAGCACTTAAAATCAGAACTTTTATATGTTATAAGTTAAGCTTAAAAATAGATGTAATGATGGCTAAAAGCCTATGCAAAAATGGGGAATAAAGGGGAAAAAATCTCACCCTTGTAGACCTCTTCAAGAATGGAGCTCCCGCTGCCTTTCCACGCTTAAATCCACTCAAAAACCTTAGCAACAACCCTTTGGCACCTCAGCAACCAAGGTAAGGTGTGATACTAGGTGTCCTAGTGCAAAACTAAGAACAAATACACCTTATACACACACAAGAGTGAAATAGAGAGAGATATAGAGATAGATATATACACAAGACCTAACCCTAATCTCAGAGCTCTCTAGAATTTTTTTGGAACCCTTGAGGAGGGAGGAGAAGGCCTCCTTTTATAGAGATTCACTCTTGCAAAGCTTACAAAATAAGCTAAGCAAGAGTGAAATCCCTCCACACACGTGTATGGAGGGGGTGCAAAGTGTGTGCAAGCTATCACAGCTGGCACAAAATATTTGCCAAAAGCAGATGCACAGTGGTTGGCCCGCCAAAAATGACAATTTGACCAAAACAATGGTCGCCCGACCAGAAATAGTGCCGACCGGCCAAACATTTGACCGATGGCAACAAAACAATGGCCGGTGGCCTCAAGCCATGGCCGGTGAGGTGTGGGGATGGCCAGCAAGCCATTCCCTGCCCCTCAAAAGCAAAACACAAGTGTTTGGTGCAAAACCAAACACAAAACAGGCAAGTCGAGAGGTCTTGAGACAAGGCGTGTGGCCGAGACCTCCGAGAACTCAGGACGAACACGAATATGGATGATCTCCAAGTGTTCAAACAGTGACGTCCAAGTCTTGAGGGCGGTCAAAAATGGGGTGTCTACACCATCATATGTCCTTAATGTTATGTTTGGATCATGGATTTAGCTATGGATTTGGAAAACGAAATGGAAAATGTGTGTCGAATGTAATTATAGTTCATTGACATTTCACCCTCATTTTCCCACTTACTTTTCAAATCTCTATGCATATACATGATGCAAGCACACCATTAAGGTTCTATCAAGATCAGAAAATTCAATAACAATAAACCAAATCCAGTAGTCTAATAGTTCAATAGGCCGGATACGAAGTTTTCAGAAAAACAATCCAATAGTCCATCGATTTAGAAGCTACTCAGCTTCACCTATGACATAGGAAATACTGGAAATTAACCAAAAAATGATCTACCAAATAATCCAATAGTTCATCCAATCAAATAATCCTTTTTTGTGGATATTTTTATTTAATTTTTGTTTGAAGTGGTCAAATGGTTGATTGTGGTACATTTGTGTAAGTGTTTATTTATGTAATGGTTATTCATACTTTGAGCAAAGGTAGTAGACTTTTATCTCTGTTATTGCTTATGCAGTTTGTTAATGTGAAAAGATGTGCAAAATAGTATTTTTCGTACATAGATTCTTTATTTTCTCGCTATAATCATTACTTTCCTTAAGTATTGTCTTTCTTTATTTTCTCGCTATAATCATTACTTTCCGTAAGTATTGTCTTCTTTACTAACTTTATTTCGATGTTCTATTTTTGTTTGTCATATGTCCTCAATTTCTCCATCTTAATGTAGAAGTAAACCTATACCTTCATCCCTTTCTCCGTAGCGGTTACATTAGCAGGTATGCTTTTTAATGTATTTGCTTTTAATTAATAGTAGGGCACTAGCGGGTGTGCTATTTTATTTATTTGCTTTTAATGAATAGCAGGGCACTGGCGGGCGTGCTATTTTATTTATTTGTTTTATTTTAATTGATATAAGGGTACTTGCTTGTGTATTTTTGAATTTTTTTGCTTTGAATTGGTAACAGGGCACTGGCTGGTGTGCTTATTTATTTGTTTGATTTTAATGAATAGCAGGGCACTGGCAGGTGTGCTATTTTATTTATTTGTTTCATTTTAATTGATAGTAGGGTACTTGCTTTTGTGTTTTTGAATTTATAGCAGGGCACTGGCTGGTGTGCTTATTTACTTGTTTGATTTTGATGAATAGCAGGGCATTGGCGGGTGTGCTATTTTATTTATTTGTTTCATTTTAATTAATAGTAGGGTTATTGCTTTTGTGTTTTTTAATTTATTTTCTTTGAATTGATACCAGGGCATTGGCTGGTGTGCTTATTTATTTATTTGATTTTAATGAATAGTATGGCACTAGCGAGTGTGCTATTTTATTTATTTTTTTGATTTTAATTTATAGTAGGGCATTGGCAGGTGTGCTTTGTAATTAATTTATTTTATTTTAATTGATAGTAGGGTACTTACAGGTGTGCTTATTTGTTCATTTTCTTTAAAGAATTAATAATTGATAGCACAGTATTGGCGGGGGGGGTTTTTTTTTTTTTTTTTTGTTTTTGTGTGGTTTTAGTTGATAATAGGGTGCTTGCAGACGTGTTGTTTGATTTTTTTTTTTAATTGATAGCAAGGCATTGGCAGGGGTGCTAATTTATTTGTTTCAAAGATTTAATTTATTGTAGCGCAATGGCAGGTGTGTTTTTTAGTTGATTTGTTTCGTTTTAACTGCTAATAGGGTACTTACGAGTGTATATACGATGGATGAACCTGAAAGTAGTAGGCATAAAAAGGCCAATACTGAAATTGATGATCAATTTGCTTTGGATGGCAAGGATGATGTTGTTGATGTGAAAGAAGTTCCCAAACCTATGATAGTTTACGAATGCTTACTAAGGAAGATGTGTTGCAAATGAAATTCAATTCAGAGGATAATGCTTATACTTTCTATAATGCATACGCTAAGGTCACCGGTTTTAGCGTACGAAGAAGTAGAAAAAGAATTAGTGGAGACAACAAATTTGTAGAGAGTAGGAAATGAGTTTGTTCAAGGGAAGGTGTAAGAGAAAAGAAATACTTGCAACGTGTGGAACAGGTAAGAACTCCTAGGGGCGAAACTAGACTTTTTTGTAGTGCCACATTTCGCATGCGTTATGACAAGACAGTTAGGAAATATGTTGTGACCCACTTTGTAGGGGAACACAACAATAGCTTGGTAGCACCACACTGCATCCCTTTTCTTTGGTTGCATAGGTTTGTAACAAGTGTAGACCAAGCTCAAGCAAAGGCCATGCGCAATGTGGGTATGAAAACGAGTTAGATCATGGATTTTATGGTTCACCAGTCAGGGGGTTATGAGAAGGTGGGCTTCATTCACAGAGATTTGCACAATCAATTCCAAGCTGAGCGCAAAGTACAACTCGCAAAAAGGGATGCAGAGGGTGCGTTAGGATACTTATAAGCTAAATTAGAGGCAGATCCATTATTTTTTTTTTCAAATACAATGTCGATAAGGACAACCGGTTGGAAAAGATTTTTTGAGCAGATTGTAGGTCTCGAATGGATTGTGTTGCATTTGGTGATGTATTGGTATTTGATACAACTTATCGTACAAATGCATATAAGAAGCCATTTTTAATTCTAGCTGGCGTGAGTAACCATTTTATGACAACTATATTCGGATGTGCTTTGTTGCCTGATGAGACAATAGAGACATACACGTGGGTGTTGGAAATGTTAATGGAGGCCATGGATGGTAAAAGACCTATCTCCGTTGTAATAATGGTGATAGGGCAATGTATTAGGCAATGAAAAGAGTTATTCCAAACTGCAGACATCGTTTATGTTCTTGGCATCTGGAGAAAAATGCCTCAACAAATGTCCACATACCAGAATTTCCAATTGATTTTGCACAGTTGATGTTAAAGAAATGTAAAATTGATGAGTTTGACAATACCTGGGCTGCTATGGTGAAACAGTACAAGTTGGAGAACAATAATTGGGTGTTGAATATTTATCTGAAGCGTGATAATTGGGCTGAGGCATATCTCCGTGGTCACATGTTTGCTAGAATGAGGAGCACTCAACGTATCGAGGATATGAATGCACATTTCAATATATTCCTAGACCAAAAGGTTAGGCTGTACGAATTTGTAGCACAATATGATAGGGCTCTTGCTAGAATGCGTGTTAATGAGGCAGAAACAGAATCTAAAACAGAGAATAGTTTCCCGGTTTTGACTACGCCATTGAGAAGTTTGGAGAAACATGCAACTGAACTCTTTACTCGGAAGATTTTTTCATTATTTCGACATGAAATCAGGAAAGAGGGTAAATTGTTTGTGATGGAAAGAGTTCAGTTAGAGGATCATCGCACCTATTGTTTTGGTGAGTACAAGGCACCAACATGCACGTGGACGGTTGAGTATTTTCCAGCTGATATCACAATGAAATGCTGTTGCTTGAAGTTTGAGTCGTTTGGCATCCCTTGCTGCCACATGATTGCTGTTATGAAATCTAAACAATTAATGTGTATTCCACCGAGTTGTATCTTGCAGAGATGGACAAGACGTGGTAGGTCAAAGCGTCAACAACCAAGTCTTACCCAAATTTGTAGCACCCTAACACAGACAGCTCGGTTTGGTATACTCTGCTTCTGTTTTAGTGAAATGTCATATTATGCCTCACACGCGGACAAAGATTTTGAAAAGGCAAGGGAAATAGCTTTCCAGCTGACATCGCAGATGAAAAAATGTTGGGCAATAAGAAAATAAGGTAATGTCGAGGCTGGGGACAGAAATATTGCACCCAAACTATATGGCGTTGGTGATCCTAATGTATTGAAGACCAAAGGGAACCCCGAAGGGACATCTTCTATGGGTAAACCTCCAAAACCAAGGCGGTGTGGGTATTGTAGATATGGTACTTTCATTGTATGACCATTTTATATCCTGTTACATGCACATGATTATTAAAATCATTTATGCATTTTTTGCTACTGTAGGAGCATCGAACACACGAAGCGGATGTATGTGTAAAAAATTGGCTGCAAGTAGGCAGAGATAGGGTAGCAACTCAGACAGTGAACCATTTACGAACACAGAGTTGGATCCCCACACGGATGATACCAATGAACTGCCAAATTATCCAAATGATCCAGTGTAGTTGACTTTCATAATGAGGCTTATAGTGATCGAAACATTGTTTTTACAAGGAGACATTAGTGCCTAGTAGTTACGTTTTGTTAATGTCTTAGTTGTTTTAATCTTAGGCATTCTTAATAAATTTCGTAGTTTAGAGATTAATTTGAAAAATAAAGGTGAATAAATTCCAAATTTGTTTGATTGCTGATAAAATAGGGACTTGCTCATGCCATTACTTTACAAACAATCACTGTTAATAATACCGAACTGTCTCTCTCTTTTTCTTTTGTAGATTTTTTTAATTGTCTGTTTGCTTGGTAAGAAATGGTGGACATTGCTGTTAGGTGACACATAACTGTGCTGATATTGGAATGGTATGGTATTGATGTATAGGGATAATAAGAGATGATGGAGATGTGCATTGCCAAAATATAAACTACTTCATCACCCAACAAAAACATTAGTAACATGAACCCAAGTTGTCATTCAAACAATAGTGTGGTATTAAACCAACTATGCAAATCTACTTCCTTAAAACTAAAAGCATCTAAGAAAATTTAGGACTTGAGCCTGTTGATGTAGTCAGATTAGCTTGCATATTATGAATTGAAATGCAATAATGAATGCAGCGAAGTATTTGAACTGTATAATTATCAATCCTTGCCTTCCCTTGCTACAATCAAGCAATTAGCAATCAAAAACTGCTAAAGATAAAGTATCTATTTGGCTATCTGCTTACACAAGAGATCCCAAGCATGAAATAATCTTCATTTTCAAGCAATTGAGAGTAAAAATTACAACTGCTTATAACAAGTGAGAGTACTGTAACTTGATTGTAATGATCCAAATCCATATGCACCCAAAATCTACAAATAACTTGGCAGAGGGCTCTTTTGCATTTGCCTTCAAGACTACTTTCCTTCACCCAAAACATGGAAGATGCATAATGCTCATTATGGGTAAAAAACGAAGGTGTTGAACGGACTAATGAATCATGACAAATGTTCGATATTCCCATGTCCAGACATGTGTTAGACACATTTAAAACTAACACAATTAACTTTTAGGTGTTTCTTAAAAAGTGGATTGTGTTTGGAAGAATTTTCCTAAAACATTTTTCGAATTTAATTATAAACTCAAAAAAACTGCTTATTTTTTAATATTTTTGACTTGAGTCTGTTTCTTCCATTGAAATATTTGACTTAATATTTTTTAATATTTTTGACTTAATAAATTTCGTAGTTTGGAGATTAATTTGAAAAATAAAGGTGAATAAATTCCAAATTTGTTTGATTGCTGATAAAATAGGGACTTGCTCATGCCATTACTTTACAAACAATCACTGTTAATAATGCCGAACTGTCTCTCTCTTTTTCTTTTGTAGATTTTTTTAATTGTCTGTTTGCTTGGTAAGAAATGGTGGACATTGATGACTGAAATCAATAAGGTTTTAATATATTTGCATTTGTCATTGTATGATTAAAATTTGAATCTCTCCAATGACTTACATATGTTTTAATATGTTTGGATATTACGTAGGTAATTGAAGATGCCACGGAAAAAGACAACAAAAAAAATGAGTAAAGGAAAAGCGGTAGCTTCTCACGTTGACCTTGGTATTTTTGCTAAACGGGCTATTACAGTAGAGCAGGCTGTCAACTTGAAGGAGTTAACTCATACTAATATTCCAGCAATTGTGGGCCACCTGCATATCCAAAACCTGATCGAATGGGAAGGGAAGGCTAATGTCAACCTGGTACGGGAATTCTTTGGTAGCATACAAAAGCCAACCGATACAGAGAACTTGATTCTGAAAACAAAACTGAGGGGGAAATATGTGGTGTTTTCCGCGGATTGCATATCAAAATTCTTAGACATTCAGCGACCAACACATGATGACAAAACACAACATCCATACCTTCCTAGTGTCGACCTTCCTAATGAAGCCAAAATTGTTGATGATTTGTACATCGAAGGAGTCATACCACAAGACAAGTATCATGTAAAGTTCCTGAAGCTTGACCTTGCTGTTCTTCATCTTATATTGTGGTACAATCTTGACCTAAGGGGGGTGAAATCCACTTTTGACCATGAACGAGCACTCATGTTATATGTTGTCCATAATTTTAGCCCTCTAGATGTTCCGAACATAATTTGGCAAGTAGTGGATTCTGTCACAAAAGTAAACAATCCACATGTAGCATTACCATTCGGCCTCTTCGTGACTGATATGCTATTTGAGCTTTGTGTACCGACTCGACCAAATGATGAATGGAAGGGGCAGATGAGCCACATAGGTCATGAAACGTATGGGAAAACACAAGGGCAAAGTCGAAAGCATCATGAAAGACAAGATCCTACTTCATTGGAGAGCATATCAACTCGTTTGTATGAGGCTGTGTACATATTGAACCGGATGGAGTTACAGCACAAGAAAGACATGAGGAAGGTCAAGTTAGAACTAAAACAAATGCGGAAAGCCTTTTGTGGTGAAGATTCTGAGAATTCAACTAGTTCTAATGATAGTGAGCAGGAATCTAATGGGTCCAGCCATGATGACAACTAACAAATGGACACAGACAATGATGGTTGAACAAAGTTTGTAATGCCAATGATTTAGTTGACACTATTACTTTATTTTTACAAACAGTGTTACTTTTTTGTGCAGAAAGTGTTAACTTTTTTTTTACAAACAATGTTACTTTTTTGTGCAAACAGTGGTGGTACTTTGTTTAGCCCATACTTTTGCGAACAGTGTTACTTTTTGTCCCATTTATTATGAAAAGAAAATTGAAACAATGATAGAATTCATGGATGACTTATGTGATGGACAACATTTGGATGGTTTATGTCAACAATATTATTTAGTATGATGCTTCGACATTTTTGATAGATTAATTTTTTTTTTCAATGCCAATGATGTATGTGTAGCTTGCTGAAATTTATGGCTACCAATCGACTACACAGTTGATACATTGATTCCAAAACTTAGTATGATATTTATGCACAGAATGTGATTGACAAATATAATTCGTTAGATTTCTTAGACGTTCTTTCTTTCTAAGTTGTTGAATGATACATTAGGTGTTGCTTACTAACAAGGAAATGTAGGTCCTCTGTTGCTTTTTGTAGCAAATACTGTCATTGTTCTTGGTATTTAAAACTTGCAAAGAACTACCTTTGCGCGCTTTCTAAGTGGGGAGATGACATGAATTATCACTTTCTCTGCATTAACAATATATTTTTTATTTAATTTTTTCATTGTTTATTTTATGTGTGTTTTCTTAAATGTAAAATTTAGAAAATTTATTAGTTATTTTGTTACTCTGCCAAGTACTTGTCCTCTTACACTCTTGCCATTTGAAATGTGTACATGATAGTATACACTAATGGCACAATTTTAGTTGGACATGAATTGATTATGCAAAAAAAATTATATTGTACTATATATGTAGCATTGCATGGACTTGTAATCCAGTTTTTAAAACATTTTCCCTACTAACATTTGGTACATGTGTGTAATTTTTGATGGATTGTAAATGTAACAACCAAGAGTAATGTGATACAGTTAAATATCATAAATAGTTTCATCACACCAATCTTGAGCAACAATATAAATTCCATACAAATTGAAACCCAAAAAATAATATGCTTCTTCAATCGTCCACAAAATACTACCAAACTGGGTTAGTGTATTCATCCATGTTTCTTTAACCATAAAATATGTTCATAATTGTGAATAAGCTTAGTGCCAAAAGTACGGTTAGGCGAATCAATCTTTTTTCAACCAGCCATGTTTTCAATCAAACTTTCTTTTTCCTTCTAGCCTTCCGGAGCCTAGAGTACTTGTTACAAAAGGAATTACATTCAGTAAGTAATCAACTAAGTTTATGAAGGGCATAAGTTGCTCATGGTTTGGGGACACACCTCTCTTTGTATTGTTCGAGCCTATTCATAACCTCAATATAAATACGGTTAGACGAATCGTTCACTAGGTCAACTAGTAGCCTAAACCTTTCCAGCTTATCAAACTAAGGAAACAAAACAAAAAATATTCCATCAACAATACCATCATGCAAACAGTATGTGGTATGTAGGCAATGTGCAAACAGTATGTGGTAGGTAGGCAATGTGCAAACTGTGTCGGTAACTATTATTTGTGTTTCTTGCATGCTTTTGTTTTCATCTTCGCTATAGGTTCAACCAAATGTATCATAAGGGCTAATATTTAAACCCAACATAAAACATGTTATTAAAATAATACATTGAATAGTGTGAAGAAATAATACTTGTAGAAGAAGAATGCTGGTGTAAATCGTTTGTGTATGCAAGGTTTGTTGCTTCCTTCGCTCATTGTGTATTGTTATATATTATCTACATAAGCAAAGGTGAAATAATCATATGATACAAAATCAAGTTAGTATGTGCAAGAAAAGTATACACACCAAAAGACAAATAATAATAAACACAACCCCTTCCTTATTTGAGAAAGATACATACTATGAATACAATAAAAGCAATGTACTGATTAGTTTTATTCAGTTGACGCAATAATACAAGCACACACTAGTTGTAGCTGATGACTTGATGGGGACTGTTACTACTGTCTCATGTTTTCTCTAATTTCATGT